GCTACAAATTGGCTTGAGTTGGTGCGAGCTTAAGCAACCAGTGAGTTTTGGAATTATTTTTTTTTTTTTATATTGATATTTTATGATACTGAATTTTATCATGGCAGAATGTTTGATATACTTATATATACAATCAAAGTTAATTTAAGAAGTTAAAGTTTACGTATGATAATTAGAAATAATTTAATTAATGTAATGATCAATATTAATTTTAGTTGAATTAAATTAATTTTTTAATTAAGATAATCAGAACTTATAGATTTATAAAAGAAATAATTTTAGTTAAGTTAAACTATAATACTATAGATTGCTAAATGTTGTTATAATGAAAAGGAACTTTTTTTGCTGTCAATTATTTTAAATTAAACAATTCATCATATTAAGTATAAATATAGTTGATATAAAATTAAGAATTAAATTAAAATTTTTAGGTTTCCATGAATGATTACAAGTTGAGTTAGATAAATAAAAAAATGAGCATTTGAAATAATTATATTTTATAAGTATTTTATTCTTTGATATGAGTAACTGACAGAAATACTTATATAAATGGTCAAGAGTGAGGATAAGATCAAGGCATAATATTGGCACAATAATGACTTAGATGAGCATTCATATTTCTTAATTATTATAAATATTATTTTCTTCTATATGAAATGTTATTGCATGTTAAATCATGATTTATTTGTTTTATTTGATGAATTAATCAATATTAAAATTAATGGCATAAATTGTTGCTACATGTTTAAATTGTTTAGGGTCTCTCTCTCTCTCTCTCTCCTCTCTCTCTCTTTCTATATATATATTGAAAGCCCAAAAAGGCTAATATATTAAATAGAAAGAAAGATACAGATACAATTTGTGGGAGGGCCCAAGCATAGGCACCCTGCCCACTCAAAAATTACAAATGGTTCCAAAATTAGAAAAAACAGAAAAATACATTAGATGCTTAAATAAAAAGTCTAATAGTGTCGAAATACATAGTATCAAATGGCTAGAGAGCGACCCAATTTGGTCTTGCCTCTGCCTCTAGTTTTAGGGAAGGAGCAAGCTAATAAGCTGGTAAGATGATCGTCATTGTCAATAGTAACCAATGTATCATCCAATACGTTCCCGAGTTGGAGTCGATCTACATTCTTCTTCTTCCTCCTGGAATAGATCTGTCATTCCTCATCCAAAGAATCAGTCTGATGGGGTGGTAGAACTGAAGCAGAAGGAATACCAACCGTAGCACCCACAATAGGCTCTACTATATGTGAAGTATGAGTTGTCTCTACACCGGATACTTCCTGAAGAAGTGGAGCTACAAGGTTCTCCTGATTATCAGTCTGAACACTGTCATTTGTAGGTAATAGTCCATCAGTATTATTTTTTATGGGGTTTGAAGGTGTCAGCATCACATCACTCGCAGTAACAGTAACAGCAGCGTCATGGGAGGGCTCCTCAGGGGCAACAGACACCTCCTGTCTGGTAGTATCCTCGCCAGGTGGAACTAAAATATTCAGAGCAGTGGGGTTAGACCCATCCTTATTCACTTGAACCTTAGATTTCAAATTTGGATGAAACTTGTGGCATTTATCAAGGATATGGCCAAACATCTTATATGACCAAGATATGGCCAAACATCTTATAGTGGGTACAATATGGGGGTCTGTGTTCCATGATTATTTGTTGTCAATAACCATTATGGATTGTGCCTAACCAGACTTCAGTAACATCAGGTAAAGTAATATCTATTTTTACAAGTATTCTGGTCACCGAGGGTCTTGTTAGGTTGAAAGTGAGTAGATCTAGCTTCAAAGGATTTCCAAGGATGGCCACAATAGAATAGAGAACCTGATGGTGAAAAAAATGCAGCTTTAGACCAGGTAAACTAAACCATACCGGTACAGTGGGAGTTTCATGTTTTGGGTCGAATTTTGGGTCGAAATTGATTTTGGTCGAAATCAGGAGACAACTTGAGTAGTTTCATAGGTTTACCTCCGATGTTAAGATATTTTTTGGAGAAAATCTGAGTGTAGTCCTCAAGCACGGTTAACTGAATCAATACATGTTTTTCATTCGTGAGCCCCACTTTTCACTTTTCTGTTAATTTGAGGTCATCAAAACTTTTCCTAATATATTCCATAGGTGGGTTTCCCCACTGAAATTTCCCAATATGAGCAAATTTGAATTTGTCAGTCAGCGTTGAAATTTCTGACGAGAAAAAAAAAAGTGTTGTCTTCCCACTTTTTTTGCTTTCATTCTTTATAAAGTGAGTCACTTTTACCATCACGATACTCCTTATAACTTGAAGGGAAAACAACCGCTGTCTCCCACTGAAAATTACCTACCATGTGGGCAAAGGAGGAGGTTTTGTCAGGTTCAACCGAAAGAGAAGAAAGCTCCATCGCAATGAAGAAACTGTCAGTTGGGCAAAGGCAAAAAAAAACAAGCCGAAGAACTTCGCAGGAACCGTATGCGCAGAAGACAGAAGATCGAAGACGGCACGAAGTCGCAGCTCGTTAAAAACCACACTCGATCCGCACAAAAAAGAACCGCAAAAACTGAATGGCTAGTTGGAAGGTGCAAAGGTGGAGACGACGAAACCGCACGCCGAAGCCCTTCGTCGTCGTTTGGTGCAAGAGGGAAGATGACGATTAGTCGTTGTCGTCGAGTGCGGGAAACAGTGTCTTCATCGCCGAGTGCGGGAAACCACATCGTCGTCGAGTCAAGTGCCGACGCCGACGCCAGTGCGGTGGAACCCTAGTACTAATCACACATGCACATACAACGTGAAGGTACTCTCGCACATAAATTAGAGAATGATATTGATATTGACATATCATAAATTGGTATAATTTTCTTGGTGCTCCTGTGATGAATATTATGTGAAAAAAATATTGGTAACATATAATGGTCTTATATGAGTTTAATGCTGTCATATTTGGTTGGTTAAATAGTTTGAAACAAATTTAATGAACCTAAATTATCATGTGTGTTGTATTTTTAATTTTTTTTATATTACTTTCATTTTATGAATATGAGTAATCATTGAGTTGTTGGTAAATCATTGCATCTAAACTGACATTTTTGTGGCATTAGATTTGTCCTCTAAAATCAGTTATTATAAATGCTTTTTTTTCAAAGATGTGGCCAACATGGAGAATGATAGCTTCCTTTTTTAATTGTTTTATTTTAAGTTACTTTGGTTTGGGAAGTTCATCGTTATATCATTTGCTCTCACCTGGATAATTGTAAACCTTCAAGCGCAATGGTCAAACTTAAAATTATGAAAGATAGTCAAAATGTTGCATATCATATCCAGAATATATTTATTTGAATGATTCGTAAACAAACTCCGAATGATTGCGAAGAATTCATGTTTACAATGACATGCTAATTTCTTAAGAAAGAAAATTCTAATAAGAAATTTTGTAGTAGTCATAACTATGGATGCTTATAAAAATAAGATAAAGCTGCCTTAAAATAATGTTTAAGATTCCCTAAAATATGATAATGGCAGTTTATAAATCAGACAATTACTATCTAAAAATTTAATTGAATGCAGTAAATTTAATTTCAACATGTCAAATTATTCTCCTTAGGAAAATCCACAAAAAATTGACAAATGCTTAAAATAAACTATAAAAATTCAAAAAAAAAAAAAAGATAGTAAATATAAAATAAACTTACAATTCTCAGCAGATCCAAATCAAGTCATCTCAGATATATTTAAACATTGTAAAAATAGTCATTACAAGGTGTGCCCATCATAGCGGTATTTGAAAGGTTACACCTGGTTGAATTGGATCTTCCTAACTCCGCCTGATTTCCTTCAGAGGTTGGATTTTCAATTTTGCATCTTTAGGCTTGGTTTAACATTCATTGCATTAAAAATCTTATCTACTTTTTTCCCATGTGTTGAGGATCATGCATGTTTAAGGATTGAACTTCCGTGCTACTTTGTAGCAAAATAGCCTGAAGTGTTTGCATTTTAAAAGTTAATTGTGTTTAATTAAAGGTTTTGAAGGCCTCATTCAAACATTTTTTTTTTATTAAAGGACATTTTTTTTAATTAAGGTTTTAGAAATGTTTTCTTACTATGCATTAAGGAAAATTTGCACAAAATGTTGTTATTGTGCAACCTGTTCTCCCCTAGTGTACCTCTATGGGACTTTTGCAACGTCTAAGTTCACATTGAATTGTATTTTTTTCTGAAATGAATGTCTGTATTCTAGCATATTTTACCTTAAATCAACAATAACTGCATCATGAAAAAGGAGTCTTTTGACCGAAGATGTGAGAAGTTAAAGTTACTGCTTTTGGATAGAATCCTTAAAACTTTTTTATTTCCAATTAACTTTGCATCTTTAAGCTTTGTAAAGCATTTATTGCATCAAGTTTTCATATGAAGTTGAAAAAAAAGGATATGAAGGTGTTTTGGAAAGAAATAAGTTAATGCAGACCATATCATAGTTATATGGATTTGTACCAGTAAGGATCGAAACAAAGATATTTGAAAAAGAGAACATTGTTATGTGAGAGGCTAAGGTGGTTATCTGAGAAGGGTTGCAAATGTTCATTAGACCTGATTGGGCTCCAATCACTCCTAATGCAACTCAACAAGCATTAACGAGATGTTGATATCATGAACACTAAGAGCTATGCGCACTTTTGTGGCTGGAGGCTGATTCCCTCTTCTTTCCTGTAAGGACATCTGTTTGTTATTGTATTTTCTCTTATTATGATCATTTAACATGAAAATGACATTGATTATTTTAATTTACCTAGTTGTAAACAATTTGTCACTAGTTGTTCATGTTCCCACTTTTCTGTCATAAAACCTGTATTAATAAATTGTTGCACTAGGTTTTAAGCAAGGCTATGCAAAGTTACCCCAGAGAAGTAAATTTATATAGAATATTTATTCTTTGCTTTCCTTGCTAAATACTAGATGCTGTCGGACTTGATTTTCTTACCTTCAAGCTGTTTGACTTGCTGAATTTGATTTTCTGCAGGCTTTATTTAGTTTTGTTATCATGCAACTGCAGCTGTGTGCAGTTTTCTTTACATTTTCGCTTGGAACCAGAACACATTATTTTGGCCGAACAATCCTTCATGGAGGTGCCAAAGTATGTGATTACAACTTAGTTGATGTACTAATAAGGCCTTCTGAAACTATTAGTTATTAAGTTCATTTCTCTACAGTATAGAGCAACTGGAAGAGGTTTTGTTGTCCGCCACATCAAATTTGCTGAGAATTATAGGCTTTATTCAAGAAGCCATTTTGTCAAGGCGTGAGTACTTTTGAAATCAGTTCATTCATGACAATGTATTGCTTTCTTTTCAATTTGTGCCTTGTCCTTGATAACCGCAAATTTATATCTTGCAGACTTGAGGTTGCTCTGCTTCTCATTGTTTACATAGCATATGGTTACACAGAGAATGGTGCATCGTCATTTATAATTCTCACTATCAGCAGTTGGTTCCTTGTTATTTCATGGCTTTTTGCCCCCTATCTCTTTAATCCCTCCGGCTTTGAGTGGCAGAAGTACGATTTAACACGTTTTTTTTTTTTTTTTTTTTTTTTAAATTTTTTTTCATTGGTTCCTCATTTGATAATTTGCTTCATTGCCTTTTTCTTTTTATAAAACTTATCTCAAGTGTAAGTTGATTTTGGTTCAACTACTACTTCGTGGATTTATCAGGACTGTTGAGGATTTTGATGATTGGACTAGCTGGCTTCTTTACAAAGGCGGAGTTGGTGTGAAAGGGGAGCACAGTTGGGAATCTTGGTGGGATGAGGAACAGGCATGTAACAGTTTTAATACTAAATGCTTATGCTTTTTCTGATGTATCTACTTGTATTTTAATTGTTCCAATTTCAAAATAAATTGTGGTCTGGTAGATCTCAATTAGGGATGAGGACAATTGATAATAATGATGATACTTCATTGTAGAACCCTTTTAAAGAATGTTTTTGTTAGTATAGATTAACCCTCTCCTTAACTTTCCAATCATTTTTTCTTTTAAGATGTACCTTTTTATGCCACTCCCAGATAAAATTTGAACAAGTTTGACCTATTTTGAAGCAAGTTAAACGTAGTATGCACTCCTTACTTTCCCAACCAATTGTTTCGTCGTCTTTGTCTCTCTCTTTCTCCCTCTCTATCCTTTCCACTTTAACCCACATCACCTATTTGCTGCTCTTCCTTTCTGGTTGTCTTTCTTCCCCATATATGCTTTTTTTTTTTTAATAGCTGGTTTCATCGTCATTGATTTCTTCTCTTTTCCTGTGAGAATAAGTGACGCGGGGGCTATGGAGGACCGACCGGTCCTCAAAGGGAGGCGGGCTGCTCTCCTCCCTTCCCCTCTCTCCCCTTCCCCTCTTCACCTTCCTAATATAAGCCTTTCCAAATCAAGTTTTCTGAACATTTTATTCCTCTTTCCTAAATCCGAATTTCCTTTATAATCTCTTTCCTAAACTTAATTTCTAAACTAAATGTCTAAATCCAAATTTCAATTATAATCCCTTTCCTAAATTGAATTTCCAAATCAAATTTTCTGAACTTTTTATTTCTCTTTTCTAAATCTGAAATCCTGATTTAATTCTTTTTTCTTATTTTAAGAATTACCTAAAATAAATTCTTAGTCTCATTATAAATGGAGAAGGATGTGCTTAGAGTTAGAGATCTTGTTTTGAAATCTGAATTCAGGTTTTACCTTAAAATTCTCTACGAGGGTTGTGTCTGACATCGAGGAAGTGCTCTAGATGTCCATCATCTGAGGTGGTGATCATCTCCATAGGTGTTCCGACTGTAGCTCGACTCTGCCAAGATATATATCTATCCTTCCACCCTTCTCATTGTTGGCCACCCTCTTCCCAGCCCTACGGCAGGACGTCGTTGCCTCCTACTTTTCCTGCAAGCTTCCACAACCCTTCAGCCATCAGCATGCCACTGCCCCTCCTCTTCCAGCAAGTTGTCGTAGCCGTTCAGCCACCTGCAGCTCCCCTGCAGGCCACTCCTACAATTGCTCCTTCCACCTCTTCCTTGCAGCTCCCCTGCAGGCCGTAGTCATCACTTCGCCTTCTTTCAGCTTCCCCACAAGCTATATTGTTCGCTTCCCCTTCCAAATCCTCTCTCCCGCAATTCCAACTGCTCCTTACGGTTGCGGTTCGACGCATTGACTAGGATGTGTATAGGAATGACAACGCTTATAGGATTGGCTTACCAAGAGATTGCAACAGCTCCGCCACCTTCAACCTATCTGACTTGATTCCATACTACTAGAATACAAAGGCTTTGACGGATGAGGTCGAAGCTCCCCCAACCTTAGGAGATTGATGCGGGAGCGCTCCAATCCGATTGTGGGACTAAAGCCAAGCAACTACTGTGATCTTGGGAGATGGGGAGATCGATTGATTCAATCCTGATTTCATCTTTTATTCTTTCTTTCAAATTATCATTCATTTCTTTTTCGTTATTTCCTATATATGTGTTGCATTAAGATTTTGAGGTAAGTATTTTGTGTTTTGTATGTGACAGCCATCGGATAATCGTACCACGTCTATATATGTCATGTGCTCATGTGCTTGCCATGTTGTTTTCTGCTTGCCAACCATCTCGGCTAGCATCCCACCACCTTCCAAACCCTTGACGATCACCACCACCACCCCAAGAGCCACCCCATTTTAAGTGTTTGTATCGTGTCAGTTGCTATTTTAGATTTTCGGGTGTCGTGTTGTTGTATTTTTTCTTTTTTAAGTTTTTTGGGTGTAACTGTCTATTTGTTGTCAGTAACAATTTTTTTTTTCCTATTGTGGTTTGGGTTAACTTTGGTATCATCAATTATTGAAGCTAAATGGTTTCGGTTAGCTTTAGATTTCTACCAAAGGATTGTAATTATCTGTATAAGATGTGTGTTTCAGTGATGGCAAGATAAAGAACTATTTTGGCTTGATCTGTTGATGCAATTAGCAGACATGTTAACTATGTTCATTTAGAGAATTCATCTGAACCCTTCTGTATCATTCACAAGGGTGGTTTTCTATATAAGGAACCAAGGGCTTGTTTTTTATTAACTATGATTTATTGGATCGAATTTGCTCTCTCAATCGCCCTCCTTTTCTCGCTACTTCCTGTTCAAGCTCTCTCTCTCTCTCTCTCTCTCTCTCTCTCTCTCTCTCTCTCTCTCTCTCTCTTTTGATCTGTTTCAGCTTGATTCCCTCCTTGCATGTTTATCCTTCATATACTTCTCCGCTAATTTTTTCTCTCCCTATCTTTTTATATCTCAAGTACATATCCTCATTCTTCAAATTTCTCTCTATACCGTATTATATTTCATTCATTTCCTTTTTTGATTCACCTCTGTTTTTCTCTCCCTTTTCCCACCTCTGTGTCATATTCTTTCTCAAATCTACTTTTACTTTGTCTCCAACCACTAAATGTAGGAATTTAAGTAATCGAGAACCACCCTCGATTGCAACTCCAGACTACAATATAAATAAGTAGTGATTTGAAATTAAGTTGCAGCCACAAGTAATTACCTCTTCGGTGGCAGTGGAGAATAAAGATTTTGTCATCACATCCTATGCTTTCGCTCAAGTTTTTGAATGGTGGCTGTTTAAGAGTATAAATGTGGTCATGGTTACTTAAATGGAGGATATACAACAAGCTATTATGATCATTATTTTGTTCTTGCATCTTTTTATTTTATTTTTTTCTGCTCAATTTGTTTCCATCTTATTCATTAATTAGTAGGCTGGTGCCAAAAATAATTTACTTCTATACCATGTGAAGCAGTATCATTATCTCTCCCCACGAGAAACTTTTACTGTAATGGTTTAGGAGAAATTAAACTGTTTTTCCTAACCTATGCTTAATTTTTTGTAAAAATTGTCTTCTTTCCAGTGTTGTTTTTTTGTGATAAACACTTTCTCTGTCATAGGAATTTAGTTTGATTGATTTTACCTTTTTCATCTCAAACTATGTTTATGAAATGATTCATCCAAATAATGTAATTTTGTCTTCTTGATCCTAATGTTTTAGTTCATTGCAGATGTTTTTCTGCTGGAAGTAAACCCTTTGTATTTATAGTAGTGTTGTTAATAGATAAAATTTTGTTAGAGCATAAAGCATGATATTGCAAACAGATAAAAATTTTGTTAGCGCATAAAGCATGCTATTGCAAACTTAACCTAAGTACCATCTCTATCTACGTGTACTTTTGCTTTAATTGAAAGTTTTTTTGAATAATCGGGAATTTATAGCATGAATATCATGAAGCTTTATACACATGTTATTAATGTGACAATGAGTTCATCCTCTTCTTCCATGTGTTTGGATTGGCAGATGCATATACAAACATTGAGAGGACGTATCCTGGAGACAATTTTGAGCCTTAGATTTTTTATATTTCAGTATGGAATTGTTTACAAGCTAAATCTCACGGGAAATGATACTTCCCTTGCAGTAAGTAATTTTTTTTTAGATTTGGTTTTCTTTGTCTGCTCAAGTTGTTTAATCTTGCGGCTCACGGAAGTTTTGTTACTTTTGCACTAGCTTTACTGATATTTTTTAAGAAGAAAAATTTTTACAATGTCCTTCCATAGTACGAACTCCATTCGGTGAACTCCTCGCTTTTCCTTGCTGCTTTTCATTTTGCAACCCATGGCATTAATTGGTCGTGTAGAGGATTGTATTTTGTTTTAATACAAGATGTATTGAATTACTTCATGTAGAGTGCCAGTATGACTGACTGCTCTTGATTCACTACTTAGAAGTAATTTTTGGGTACGTATTTAAAACTTGCCCCTGGGTGTGGATTCTTAAGTCATACTTTTTTTAACTTATGTAAATAGTTTTATCTTGCCGTTATCAATATATCAAGCAAAATTATAAGAATATTAATTTGTAAATCTATGTATTAATTTCCTTGATTTGCTTTTATTTTGTTTTCTTTTTTTATGTTTATTATGTTTTATTCCTTTCCTTACTAGTGGATCTTTTAATGACCTAGAGTTCTATTCTGACATGGTATCAGATTCATGGCCCTAACCTAGCAGTCGGCTAGGCCTAAGGGCCCGTTTGGGGCAGCTTATTCGGTGCGGTGGAGTTTTGAAAACGCATCTGGCCTGTTTGGGTAAACTGCGTTTTGACAGCTTATGCGTTTTCAAAACCCAGAAAATAGCATTTTCACACCGCACCTATCTAGGTGCGGTGGGAGCTTATTGGCAATGGCCTGGCTTTTCCAAAAAAAAAAAAATTTATAATAGTCACCGCACCCAGCTTATCAATAGATTATTTTTAATCATCTTATCAGCAGATTATTCAATAAGCTATTGCTGCCCCAAACAGACCCTAAGTCCAGGTCCCTACCGTCGGAACATCTGGTCTTACTATAGTCGGCTAGATCTCTGCTCTCTCCTAATACCCTCTCCAGGTTTCTGTCTTTCGAATCCCGTCTCCAGGTGGCCAGGTTCCTGACTCCAAGTTCAAATTTGATCGCCAGGTTCCCGTCTCTAGATTTATCACAGGAACCACGGGTCCAGCTTCAGATTTGATCACAAGAACGTTCTCCCAGTTGGCCATTGTCTGGTGGTCACCTCCAGATTTATCGCAGGAATCACGGGTTCAACTTCAGATTTGATCGCAGGAACCTTCTCCCAAATGACCAGAAGATCTCTTCCTGCTAGAACCTCTTCCATAGGCCATATACCTTCCCTCTAGCAGTTGGAACCTTATGATGTTTCAACAACCTAACATCTTATTTGTCTCAATCGAAACCACGATGGACTCCTCCAGCACTGAGTTGTAATCAGAAAGTGTTATTGATTCCACCGAAGGATCAATTCCAACATTCATTCCTCTGCAGATCGGAAAACAGAAAAACAACATGAACTTCTTAATCACAATTCATAAACTAAATGTTAGTAACTTTTTTCAATGGTCTCATTCTGTATTTGTGTTCATCAAAGGGTATCAGAAATTCGATCGTCTTACTGGTATGATTTTTTAACCTCCAAAAACTGACCCGGTGTATGGAGCTTAGGAAGTTGTGAATTCCATGGTTTAGTTGTGGCCGATCAACTCTATGGAGACTTCTATTGGTTGATCGTATACGTTTCTTCTTTCCATAGGTGCCCTCTGGACGGTTGTCTGTGATACCTACTCAGATGTTAGGAATTACAACTAACTCTATGAGATGTCTAAGAAAATCTGTGAGGCAAAATAATGATTCAGGATCATGACACAGTACTATAAGTACTATAATGATCTAATTGCATTATGGATGGAATGCGACTTATATTATGACGACCTTTAAAAATTTCCAGCCAACCTGTCTCTTTTCCAAAAAAATGTAGAAAATGATCACATGTTCTAATTTCTAACAGGCCTCAACAATGATCTTGACAAAGTCCAGGGTCATATTCTTGGTCGGGATCCTCTTCACTTACACTACTTTCACTGAGATTCATCACTAAGAGAGTCGGAGACTTGTCATGCTTGGTACTTCCACTTTTGTCAAAACATCCGCCTTAATCTCTAATAATGCTCAACCTCAAGCTAGTCACCCTTATGATAAGTGTTGGAAGCTCCATGGAAAACCTGCATCCAAACCTTCAGCCAAAACTTCTGTTGTCAAGAGTCCCGCACAGTATTTGAATCCAACACAATACACCCAACATCTTCCCCAAACAATCTGGAATCCTCTAATTCTCTTAAAAGTCAAATGGAGCACTTAATCAAACTGTTTGGATATAGTTTGCTCTCTTTCGACCTGTCAACCTCCCACGTTCGTCAAGGTACCAATCCTATGGCACTCATTTCTTTTGTCCCTTCTAGTCTATGGATCATTGATTCATGTATCACGAACCACATAACTGAAAGCTCTCAAGCCTTCTTAGCATACTATTCTTGTTCGAAAAATAATACTGTTAAAATTGTTAATTGGTCGCAAAATTTTATTGTTGGTAAAGGATCTGTTGTTTTAACAACAGGTCTAACTCTAGAATCTGTGTTACATGTATCTCTGTTGAAGTGTAATATTTTATCCGTCAGTAAGTTGACTATGGCATTGATTGCGTTGCTCTTTTTTCTTCTGATATCTGTTCTTTCAGGATCGTCATTCGGGGAGGTTGATTGGAACTGCTAAGTGGGTAGGCTAACTCTACTTCTTCTAAGAGAAAAGCACGAAGAATGAGGACACTCCACCTAGTAGTTGCAGTTTATCCCAGCCCACCGAATGTCCTATTATGTTACACTGTCATTTGGGTCATCCTAGATTCCAGTTTCTAAAACAATTATATCTGTTGTTGTTTACTAATAAAAATCTTTCTAATTTCAAATGTGAACTATGTCAGTTAACTAAACATCACCGTGTTTCTTATCCACACAATAATTACACATTTTTTTCTCATTTCTCTCTTATTCACAACGACTTATGGGGACTCTCCCGCACTCCTAGCTACACCAATAAGCGGTGGTTCATTACTTTGATTGATGGCTACACTCGGATGGCGTAGCTCTATATTTTAAAAAATAAATCCAAAGTTGTTGTCACTTTCAAAATCTTCCACAACTTTATGTTGACTCAATTCAAAACTCCTATTCAAGTCATTCGGACTGACAATGGTCGTGAATTTTTTAAGTCTATATTAGGAGAATTCTTGGTAAGTGAGGGCATTCTCCATGGGGTAGCCTAGAAAAAAAACTAGCATCTTCTCGACGTTACTCGCTCCATTATGTTTCACTCTGATGTTCTGAAATCTTTTTGAAATGTTGTCATTCTTACCACCACTTTTCTCATAAATAGAGTTTCTTTAAAAATTCACAACTTTCGTACCCACTTACCACCACTTTTCTCATAAATAGAGTTTCTTTAAAAATTCACAACTTTCGTACCCCTTTAGCCGTATTAAGATCGTGTTTTCCTAACAATCGGGTATTCTCCACTTTAGATCCCAAATTTTTTTGGTGCATAGCCTTTGTTTCGGAACACGGTTCTAACTCATATTAAATTAGATCTCAAGTCCATAAAATGACTTTTATCGGATACTCTGCCACTCAAAAGAGGTATTGATATCTTGACCCTACCACAAATAAGGTCTATGTGAGCTTTGATGTCTCATTTCTTCCCTACTTTCCTAACTTGGCCTCCAATGAAGGAGAGCTAAAGTTTTTTGACATTATTCCTTACCTTATTCCTGTGGATTTTTCCCCCACATCACCTACCATCGAGGAACCCTCTGTTTCATTGGTTCCAGCCACTTCTCCCACCACCAAGGAACCCTTTATCCCTTTGATTCCACTAGCACATCCTCCCACTATCCGTGTCTACACTCGACGTACTAATTATAATGCATCTACTCTGGAGCTCACTAACCCCTTGCTGGACCCTGAATCCCATTTGAACTACATCCCGAGCACTGTTGCTCCATATAAGAGTACAAAATCAGATATTCTCTCTCTATCCCATGACAAACTATGTCTCTCTTCCCATATTATCTTCAACCTTTAGAGCATTTACTACAGCCCTAACCAATCATCAGCCTTTCTGTACTATTGAGGTTTTCTTAGCGACCCAGCCTGGAATGCTGCTGTTATGGAGGAAATGAATGTTCTTCAGCGGAACCATACTTGGTACGTTATTGATCTTCCTTGGGACAAGAAAGCGGTTGGATGCCGATGGATTTTTAGCATCGTTTAATTCGATGGATCTTTTGAATGCTACAAGGCATGATTGGTCTCCAATGGGTATTCACAGGCCTACGAAGTTGACTATGAGGAGTCCTCTTTTCCCTTGCAGTGAATCTGGATTGACCCTTATTCCAGCTTGATGTTGAGAATGTGTTCCTGAATGACGATTTTATAAAGGAGGTATATGGCTCTTCCTCCAGGTTCTGACAACACTGCCTCTCAGAGGCAAGTATGTAAGCAACGAAAATCCCTTTATGAATTAAAGCAATCACCACGGCATGGTTCAGGAAATTTACTAAGGTTGTGGTGGGCCATCGATTCACTCAAGCTCAATCGGATTATACTCTCTTCTTCCAGCATTCCTCCAGCGACTAGGTAGCTATCCTTATCGTCAATATTGACGATACTGTAGTTACAGGTAACGATCTACCAGCATTGGAATCTCTTCAATGTATTTTTGCTACTTCTTTTGAAATGAAGTACTTGGGATCTCTCTGGTACTTCTTAGGCATGGAAATTGATCGGTCATCTCAGGGTATTTGTCTGTCTCAGTGAAAATATTTTATTGGCCTTTTAACTGAGGACAATCTTCTCCTGTGCAAATCAGTGGCTATCCCGAAGGATTTCAATGACAAACTTTCCGATATTCTCAATGCAGTTTTTGTAAACAAAACTTGCTACCAGCGCTTTGTGGGAACATTCATCTACCTTGCCCATATACGCCTCGACATATCTCACGCTGTTGGGATAGTCAGTCAATTCATGTTTGATCC